TCTACTGTGCACCTAATGTCCCTAATGCAATCGAATGTAAAACAAAAAAGTTATGATTGATGAAAGTAGTAAATCGGTCAGATTTGACCCGAAGAAAACAGGTGGGGACACCAAGTTGCCAAATATTTCCTAGTGCTTCAAAAATGCGTACTTTAGGGTTAGGGTCCTCTGATGCACTGTTAGTTTTGTGTCCTGTTTTTATCAGACTCAACATCTTCCACTTTGTCATCACATAATTATCTTGCATTAGAAAAACAGTAACCCGTCTCAACCGTATATCTGCTTCTTTAATCCTCATAATCTCAATGTGTACACATTAACCACACAGTCCTACCAGTAAAGTGTGAACAGACATCTGCCACTCTCTCTCGCTCTTTCACTTTCAATATTTCAACCGTTTGACTTTCAGCTCCATAAAGAACAGCAGACTTATGATCCAACACAAAGTGGGAGCAGAGGCTGATAGTGTGCTCAGTAACCACTAGTTATATAGTATGTTTCATAAGTAATGTGGTTATCATTAATTGATGTCCAAAATGCCGCATGTAGCATATTAAGGACATTATACATTATGCTTTGTTAATGTTAATGCAGGCTTTATAGTAAATGCTGGTTATCGCTCTTTGATTAAACTGTAAGTATGGTCTGCAAAATGAAAGGAATACCAGTATCAGGTTATATTTGACATACAAACCTTATCATAACCAAAGCTCTTTACCTGCTGGACTTTAGTCTATACGTGTCTACTGTTTAGTTGGCGAGCAACAGCGAATGTTTTGAGCTTTTTCAGAAAAACACAAATTACAAATCAGATTAAACTGCAGAGTTGGCATGTTTTCAAATATTTGTAACCATAAATCACTTAACATCTTCTCGATAGTGGATTTGGTATAAAACAAATACTTTTTCGGCAAAGATTCCCAGCATCAATTTAGCTCCTAAAACCCCCTTCACCACTTTTGTCTATATCGATAGGATGGTGAATTTTTACCGTAAAACCATGCCTATAGCAGCTTTCATTTGATGGCTTGAAATCAAATATTTTACTTTGAAGCTTTTCCTGTGTCCACTTTGGCAAAGCTTTGGTTGTAAATAATGTATTTTGTGGCAGCAGAGCCCATCACGTCCCCACTTACTGGCCCAACATTTGATAAAATTCAGTTTTCTCAGGATCTCACTTCATCTGTATTTGTTGGCAAGTGTCTTGCTTTCTTTCCTTCTCTTTTTCTGAATGTTTTTCTCCCGCTTTAATGTAATTTCACCCCGCCTGCTCCTCTCCTCCCCACCTCCATTTATTTTCTTCTCATTCTCCATCTCTATCTCCTATTTTTGGTCCCAGATGCATCATTTATTCATAGCTTTGCATGGACTTTCTGACTAGAGAGCTATCAACAAGAGCCATCAGGGTCATCACATTACACCTGAGCCAGTGTCCACCTGTGACACACACACACACACACACACACACACACACACACACACACACACACACACACACACACACACACACACACACACACACACACACACACACACACACACACACACACAGGCTGCTCAATTCATCGTATTTTAATCGCAATTACGATTATGGCTTGCAACGATTACGAAAACAACGTAATCAAAATAAAACGATTATCTTTTTATTATTATTATTAATTTTTTTTCTTTATTTTTTCTTTAAAAAAAAAATTGTATTTGTTTTTCAGTTGAGTTATACTTAAAGTTCAGGGTAATCAACTGTTAAAAACACACTGTTCAACATTTTCTCCAATAAATTGATGTTTTCAAAGTAAATGGATAATCGTTTTTAATAATCGTGATATCAATTATTGACCATTCAGAACACGGTTCGATGTCTTTACAGTGTCCTCATTTCTTAAACACCTTCCTCTTCAGTGGAATGATTTGAGATCAGTCGAAAAAATCCCTTGAGGATAAATGTCCAGATTCTTGACTATTTATAATCAAAATGATATAAACTGCTGTTAGTTCACGGAATGACTCTGGCTGTGCTCGTTTGTTTTTTGATGTTTTTTAACTCTCCTGCTGTGATGAATAAACTCTCTGTCGGCTTGTCAGGGAATGTTTCCTCTGTGTAAAGACACCCTTTGTGTGTGTGCGCGTGTGCGAAATCTTGTTTCCTAGGTAACCAGGAGGTTGATTCTGCTCATGCAAGCTCTGTCTCTCTGCAGGGATGCTCCAAACTGGTACTGACACACTCCAAAAACGCAGATATGGATATTGATTACACAACACAGGCTGATTTGACCCCAGACTGATTATATGTGACAGCTGTCCCTGACATGCTGCGTAATGAGCCATCCGGGAACGAGTGCGGTCCACTTTACGCAGAGAGAGCTACGCGACAAATCCGACTCTGCTTCCAGTTTGGATGAAAAAATAACTAATACAAGCCCTGCTTACATCTGACCTGAAACCTGCTAAATTGGTATTAACACCCCTCCCTCCTCCCTATCTGCTCTAGTGTGATCCGGCTATCAAGTCTTTAAAAATCAGCCGCATTAACAAAGCCCACAAATGAATGAGTTAATTTAGCAGTCAATCCACGCCCTGCAGGTATGACACATTATTATCATCTCCCCTTCCATGTCATGTTATGACTAGCTTCGTGGTCGAGTGGTTTTTATACAAGTAGCCTATGTTCATTTATTTTTCATACGATCAGCTTCTACTCCCGCATCATCATCGTCATCCTCGTCATCCTCATCTAGAGCAGCAACAGCAGCAGTAGCACGCCAACGCGCAAAAACCAGGAGTGCTGGAGCAGATACGACGGGAGCGCGCAGTATAGCACCACGGCGCGCATGCACAGCTGCCAGCACTAAGGACAGCAGCCTGCTCAGTTTGGAGCGAGCAGCCAGCGACTCATCGCGCTGATCAGTCCGCACACAGCGCACCGAGCAGCGGCTGGAGGAGCGACTCACGCCCCGAAGGAGAAGCCGCGTGGAGGATGATTTAAATATTTCTGGAAGAAAAAAAAAAAACGATTCTGCAGAGGAGAGCACAAAAAAAAGAAAGATGGACAATGCGGTTTGGATGTCCACAGTTGACAGGCTGCTCTTAAAATGAGCATGCACATTCCTCCGCATTGCACATAAATCCATCTTTTATTTTTGTTGTCTTCTCCTACCTCTTCTGGCCCTCCCCCACCCCAAACCTCGCTCTCACCGCCCACCTGGATCGTGCATTGAACGGGGTGAGCCGTGCCTCCGTCCAGAAGCTGGTGGAGCCGACCCGCCACCGGGGAGAAAAGCGACCGGGCTGCACTGAAAGGCTGTTCGCTGGTGGTCCACACGATGCGTCTGTTTCTGTTGGCGGTGCTCTTCTGGTGCTCCTGCGCGCGGGCCGGCTGTGAGCCGAAGATCGTGAACATCGGGGCCGTGCTGAGCCAGAAGAGATACGAGCAGGTCTTCAAAGATGCCGTGACCCAGGCCAACCAGGTTTATGGAAGAGATAAATTCAAGCTGACTGCCATCTCCGTCACGCACAAGCCCAATGCCATCCAGATGGCTCTGTCCGTGTGCGAGGACCTCATCTCCAGTCAGGTACCCTCACCGCCACCTCTGCACGCATGGGTGCTTAGGCAAATCATCTCTGAGTCATAGGTTACATATGATCCATGCACACCTCCACACAACTGCAAATCTGGTTATTTGTTTATTGTTTTGGAAGAACCAAACCTTGCAATAGAAAGTTGCTATTGTTTATTCAAGTAAGGACTACTCCAACAAAAAAAGATTGTTTGTCATAATCAGTTTAGAGCTCTGAACCAGCTGTCTATTTATCCTTACAGTAGCAGACTACATTTCCATTCAGCATCAGCGCACTAGAAATCATCCCATATTAACACAGGCCTGTCATTTATCCAATTTGGCACTCACTCTACGCACACATGAGTCCTCTTTGTGTTTAGTGCTAATACAGTGAATTCCCCACACACCCATCTGTCACACAGACATCCAGAAATAGGCTTTGGGTTCGGGCATATCTCGGATGAGAGGGCAAGTGTATGTTTCCCGGACACACAGCTGCAGATCTACTGAACTGCAAAGGAACCAGTGAGGAGTGAAAATGTGCAGTTTACGTCATATTACAATGAACCACTCCACTACTGTATGTATGTGCTCCATACATCGCTCTTGCAGGGGGAGGCTGACACTTTCTATTTGTTTGTCTCCAGGCAGTCTGTATGATATGAACAAATGTTTTTTTATTCTTGGACTATGTGATTCCCGTTTAAAAAAGTATACACAAGCAGCAAATAGTCATACTTTGTGTGCTGCAGATCTAACAAACAATTCATATTTCATAATGTATGATGAGTGATGCTCAACATGGCTCCTAAAAAGCGCCTGCGTTATGTCACAGCATGTTGGGGCGTCAAGTCCCACTCGCTCTCGCTCTTGTTTCTCCCACACACATAATGAGGCTTAACAACAAGACAAAAAATTTAAAAAAAAGACCCACAGCTTCAGTGCTGCTTTCATGTCCTTGTGCTTCTCCACTCAGTGTAATGCCTCTAATTAATACAGGCTTGTGGAATAATACTGTCCCACTTAGTCTCCAAACTATAAGCACACGTAAGGCTGAGAAAATTGCACCAACGATGCTTCAGTTGTGCAACACGCCTCTCTTGTAATCCACAGTAGTCACAATAATAAGACAGAAGGTCAGTGGAAGGTTTCATCATAAGAGCTTTGGCTTGTGGGCGAATACAGTTACTGAGAAGGGAAGTCTGTGGCAGATGGAGGAGTAGATGCCTGCGAGCAGTCTTTGGAAGATAGACCTCATTTTTGACCCAACCATACGGGCTGCTCATATCCAGAAATCCATGCCTGCGCACAAACAAGCCAACTTTATTCCTCTTACTTCCATCTCCGAAGCATTTCTCAAGCTGAGCTCTCAGACCTTATTTCTTTGCTCCTCTACAATTTATTCAAACATGTTATTTTTAACCTGTTATGCAACTCTACGGAGAAGCAGTCGCACCTGCTAAATTAAAGATGACGATATTGTGTTCAAAGTGCGCACCACACATGTAATCAAACTTGAAGTAGAAGGACAGATGTTTTTTGCCAAGACTGGATTACAGACCATGCAAAGCGGACAGATGCTGAGGGGCCCCGGATGCCCTACATTCAGCACGGCAATCAGTGTGTGATATTTTGATTAAATAATTAAAGTGACTCTTGCATATGTACTTAATCTTGAGGCACTGCCTTAAAAAATTCATTTCTTACACAGTGTATGTCTTGAAATATTTGAGCATTCATTCCACTTCTAACCAAATTAAAATTGAGAATTCAGTGGCTCAGAAAGGAACTTTTAATAAAGTTATTATTATACAGTCATCCTCCAAGTGTGCATAGCAAATACTGTCAGGTCAATCAAACAAATGGCATCTTGTGTGCATTGTGTTGGCACAGCCTCCAACAAAAAGGGTCATGAATTTAGCGTGGATCTTTTACAGTGGTTTCATGCCAGAAATGTTAATTTACCAAGAAGAGACATGTTGTACTTCCCATATGTGTGTTCTTGTACAGGTTGTGTTTGAAGAATCTTTAAATATGATAAGATGTTCATGTTATTGTCGGCAAACATGGGAAACGATCAAAGCAAGAGAAAAAAGAAAGAAAAGTCTGAATCGGATTCCTTTTTTTAACGATTAGTGGTGCTACCATTTGCTGTAAATAACAGAGTGTTCTTCTTCTGGGCCTCTGCAGGTCTACGCTATCCTGGTGAGTCACCCTCCCCAGTCCAATGACCACCTCACTCCAACGCCTGTCTCCTACACTGCGGGCTTCTACCGCATCCCCGTGGTGGGGCTCACCACCCGCATGTCCATCTACTCCGACAAGGTGAGTGATGGATGAGATCTGAAGGGAGATAGAGGGAGAGGAAAACAGGCGGGGAGTGAACGCAGAGTGAGCGAGTGAGGAGCTCCCGTGGGGCAGCTTCAAAAGCCTTCTAGATTAAACGTCCCATCACTGTCCATTAGGGGAGCTGTGATTAAATGGGTTTCCTGCTGAAAATTGAAAGAGCGCCATTACTAATGTGCTTGGCCTGAGTTATGTTTTTATGGAGCACATGCCACTGAAAGGAAACTTTAAAGCAACGTTCTGAGAAAGACGTCGAGGAATTCAATTTAAATTTGATTGACATCTCTGCTACTCTTGTAGGTTAAATGATATCAAAGGCATTAAATTCAGTGATTTATTTTACTGTCTTTAATATTGATGCATAGTATCCCTTTTTCTAGAAAAAAAAGCAGCCGCAGGAATTCAAACTTCCAACGTATTGCATGTCTCTGTTTTGTTAGTGTACAGTAATTAAACTACACCACATTCCCGAAATTATGTGGACACCCATTTGCACCCATATGTCAGCCAAGAGCATTAGTTAGGTCCAACCTGATAAGACTCTTAGTCTGCGTTTTAAGTCTTCCACCAAGTGATGGACATGGTTTGACGACATGACATGATATGACGTTACAATGCTATGGTGGAGGTTTGGTGAGGCCTAGGCACAACATGACTTGGTTATGACTGGTAAAAGTGGATTCAAACCAAATTCAGTTCCCCTTTACCAAGTCTGCATCTTATTGGTCGTAGCAACTCCGAATAAAGACTGGCGTGTTCAGGACTAGGGTTGGCGTTTAGGGTTAGAAAAACAGGTTTGGATTTAAATGACGGTTTCTCGAATGTTAGGGAATGACTAATGGTCATGGTGTGAAGAGACAAACTTTGACCAAAAGACGAACAATAAGACTCCCATGCATGTAGTTGAGTCTGATATCTTAATGGCCCAACCATTCGCCCTTATCCTTTCGCTCTATAGTCTTTATTTTTCTTGGTCCTGACAAGATGGTAGGATGGATTTGAGAAACTCTTGGGCGATGGTTGGGGTCAGGCATTGACCTTGGATGTTTACCATTAGAAAAGGGTCCTCTTTCTGTGTGTCTTTTTTACCATCTAGACCAGGGGTGTCAAACTCAAGGCCCGGGGGCCAAATCCGGCCCGCGACTTAATTTAATGTGGTCAGCAAGAGCTTGCAAAGAATATAATAAGTTTATTATACAGTTACATGCCACTTTACAGAAGCAGGTTGCCCATAAACTACATGTCCCACAATGCATCTCGTTTTGTGACATGCGCAATGAAGAGACTTGCAATTATTTGCCCTGGACTTCTGTTTTCAAACGTAGTTAGTTATTACCCTATCCGATAATAATCCAATTCAGAGGCAATAATTTAATATAATGCATTATTTTATATATATATATCATATATTTATATATGTATATAGTTACAACCGGCCCTTTGAGTGCAACCATAATGCTAATGTGGCCCGCGATGAAATTTAGTTTGACACCCCTGATCTAGACAGAACCATGCCTCTATAACAACATCACCAAACTTCTTATTTTTCTCCAAATGGACATGAGCCATTTTCATGTTGTAACAGGAACGGGCCTTCTTAAACTGCTGGTCCAATTTGTGTTATATATATTAATGTTGTAGCATTATGATTACTAGATTGGAACACCACGGTCCTGGCTCAAATTCCCCCCAAAATAAATTAATGCATATAAATGACCTTAAAAGAGCAGGAGGGCACCCATGAGCCATCTTTTTGTCAACTTCTTTTGGCATGTTCTTAACGTTGAGTCATGCGTTAAAAGCTGTAAAACTCCACAATGTTAATCTCCCCTCCCTGCTCCACAGAGTATCCACCTGTCCTTTCTGCGGACAGTCCCTCCGTACTCCCACCAGGCGCACGTGTGGTTCGACTTGATGCGAGAGTTCAACTGGAACCACATCATCCTGATAGTGAGTGATGACCACGAGGGGCGCGCTGCTCAAAAGAGGCTGGAGACCCTGCTGGAGGAGAGAGAAACAAAGGTGAGATGCTCCGGCTCCCAGGCTCCCTAAAAGAGTGTGTGAGCGCGCGAGTGTTTAAGGTTTTTAAACCTCAAGAGGTCTTCTATGTAACTGTTTTCCTTTCTGTTATGTGGCCATATCTCTTTCTCACCATTGTGTAAACATTGGCTAACATTCCTAGAGACATCAACAGCGTCTAATGTGGTCTAATCTGACAAAAGTTTGTACGTTTATTTGCTCATCTTCACGTTGCTTTTCGTCATAGTCCAAATTATCCTGTGTCTATCCACATTTGGGAGCCAAATAGCGGACTTTAACGTGGGGCCTTGCAAACCATCACAGACTGAAGTGTGTAATCGGGGGCCGTGGCGGAAGTCAGGTGTTTCCTCTCAGAGCGTGATGAATGGCCGGCTTCATTATTTTACACAGAGGCTTTTTGTTTATTGCACCCTGTTAGCTCGTGTTCACATGATACGGGGGATTGTTCTCGCCTTTTCAGATAGCGCTGATGCATCCATTTTAAGGGTAGCTCAGAGCTGTGTGTTTGGGTCACTGAAATGCTGATCATCGTCTTTGAGCCAAAACAGACTTGAGACCGCGATGATGTGTAGCCCTTTAGGAACATAGAGCGATAGCGGAAGAAGTGAAAAAATAACAGCCATCTATTTAATCTTTTTAATAAGACGAAGGTACCGTGGGACGTTTTTTTTTCTCTCTTTTCACTCTCTGATGCCTGTCCCTCTCTGGGGCACATTGCTGTAATTGTGTGTTCAGAATGAAATGAGTCCTGATTCTGAGATTTAATTAAATCAGAAGCTGAAGAGACGCTGGAAATGACACACACCCGGGGTTATTCACAGAAGCAACCACAGCCAAAGCTACTTAAATGAAGTGATTGATTGATTCACCAATAGGAAAAGGTTTCAAACGTTAAGTTGGCGTGTACAACCAAATCCCTGCAGTTAAATAAATTATACTTTTGAATCATAGATGATACTCACATCCTGCACTATTGAGATGAAATCTGTGCACTAGAAGCCCTTGACGACAATCCAGGAAGTTCCTTTGATTGCTTTTTATGAGTTTGGATCTCAAAATGAACCCATCTGTACGTCCCATTCAAACTCATAATACTTAGGGAACTCTCTCTACTACTTGTATTTAATTAGACATCTATTCAGTCATTACTGCAGGGCCAGCTCAAGCTCATTTGGCGCCATAAGAAGGATTTATTGTAAGAATTTCTGCCAAAAGTGTGCAGCCATAATTACACTAAAAGCCTGGTCAAACTCAGGGGGCTATTGTATTTTGTTGTGCTATAAAGCAATCCCATATAAATATCTCATACTGATCCTATTGTCCTGCTTTCAAAGCCTAATGATTCCTATTCCTTTGTATTTGATATTATATCTTATTCTATAGATCTCCATTTAAAACATAACAGGAAGTCACACTGTGTTCCTTAATTACAATGAGCACACACTGTATTCATATTGAGTTGAACCCACATGGAATGTGCTGCTGCCGTTAAATTCTCACTAGAGCACCAAACGTGTATTAATCCGCAGCTGAAAATAGTCCCCAATAAATGTCAATTTCCTCCTATTTTAAGTGGTATTTGATAAAAACTACAAAGCCCAGCTAGGAAAGGAATGAGCCTTTTTATTGAAAATAAACTATATGTTTGACAAGTTTTAAAAAAAAAGAAGAATAACAAATAACGTTTGTTTTGGTCTTTATATGGGATAAGTTCACAGTAAGAAAATATATCTGTCTGAGTGTCATGCTATTAGAAATAAATATACAGTTTAAAAAAACGAATATAACAACCTTGAAATGCTCTCCTAAATCTTATAAAATAATATAGGCCTAGTATAGACCTTGAGGTTATGAAAGGCGCTATATAAATTCAAGTTATTATTATTATTATTATTATTATAGTACCAGTAGATATCAAAACGTGTATGTTTCGCAGCTAAGCATATTTGAAGATTGTCTTTTTGCCGCTATAACGACCTTACTTATTTCACCTTTAAATGATAAAATGACAAGAAAACAAGCAGAAGAACCAAAGATTTCAAACAATTTCGGACACATCCCTGCGTAGCTACGTAGCAATTTTTTCGGCTTACCTCTGACATGCCATGTATGTCACCACATGAGCTGGATAATGAAACCTGTAGCTCTTTCATTGGACGTGTGTTTGTAAGACAATAAGCTAAACAGCTGAACTGTAAATGCATCGACAGCTTTGATGGTTTTTGGTGACGGATGTTAGTTTGGATGTGGCAGACGTCAGTGTTTTCACATTATGCTTTAATGAGAAGTGGTGTTTTCTCTAATCACCTTGTTGTGCTGCATAAAGTTGTTAAATTGAAGAGTTATTTTTATCCTTGCGGCAAGTCGTTAGTGAGGTCACAGCGTCGCGGGGGGATCGCAGTCACAACCAGCACAGGCTCTGGACACAGGAGAGTTTAGAGTGCAAACGTGACCAACAGAAGATGAAATATTAAAGCCTGTGAGGATACTCAAATAGAGCGCCAGCAACACTCTTGGGTAAAAAAAAAGGACAAAGTGTTTTATTTGTGTCCGCAGTGCTGCTGGATGGTACTTGTGGAAAGGAGATCAAATCCTGAAGATTAATAAAAAAGCTTGTTTTATGATCAAATGGTTTTACTCGGTAATTACATGGCAGTTAAAGTCTCATGATTGCTTTTCTGTTATCATCTTTGAGGTTTTAACAATTACCCGTTTAGTTTTGAGTTCTTCCTGGATGGCGTTTGATATGAATTTGCTTGTCAGCTTGTCTGCTTTAGTCACCTTTGTGAAGGGGGTGCACTGAGGTGTGAGCTGTGGAGCCAGGCAGCTGCATAAGAACCCCACGAAGCAGAAAGATGATGTGTTTTCCTGCAAAATGGCTGCCAGTCTCAGGCAGGACCCCAGTGTCTCCTCCGTCAGAACGGGACTGGAATCCAAAATGATGACAAATATGGTGACAGAATATAGACCGACCTGAGAGTCAGAACTTTGTGTGCTGTGACTAGATACCATACATACTAATTGCACACAGTATGTACTATAACATCTTGACTTTATAGTATAATACAGTATATTACCTACGTGATGGGAACAATATATAGTATATCGGATGTCAACATACTTTACATAGGGGTGTGACTCAGCAGAAGCCACACGATACAATATGATGACGATACTTAGTTTTTACAATGGTACTATGTTTTGATTTCCCCCCCATCCCTACTTCTTAATTCCAACAGGAGATGATATAACATGTGTATCGACCTCCATCAAACTCATCGTCAGTGCCGATTACATTTGACAAGGGAGAAGACCTCAGACCAAAAACTAATTTATTTTGTATTATTTTCAATTAATTCACTAATATGCAGCTATGATTATAGCTTCAATATCCGTTTTTCTTGAGAATCATTAGCTTGTGTTTGCGTATTCAGCTAGGATCTACCGTAGGATGTGTTAAACTTAGGATGGTAAAAATGTTGTTACCTCCAGAGATAATTGTATAGACGAGCCTATTGATAGTTTACATACCGTTAAACCATTAATGAGCTAGTCATTCTTAGATACTAGATACCTCTCTTGGTGTAGAGAGTCCTATGGCCTGTGTTGACCACCAATGTTTTTGTGTACAAAGTTCTATGTTAATGCTGTTTTGTGTATTGATTGTTGCTGGAACCAGAGCATTTCCATCCAGCGGTCGTCTCTGATGTTTTGCAAGCCCCACCGTTAAAGCTCCTAATTTGAAGCAGAAAAGTGGAGATTTGTTGGAATGCTTTACTGCCCTCCATTTTCAACTGTTTATAATATTTTTCTGTGTCTGCATATTTTCTCTGTGCACATTACTCATCAGAATAAAAAAAGGAACTATGAAAACCTCGACCAACTGTCCTATGACAACAAGCGAGGACCTAAGGTATATTTGCATGGTCAATGCACGCCGCCCACCAACTTTCCAAACGTAGCAACTAGAAACCAGCCCAATCCAGTCACCAGCCGACCCAGAAATGTTCCTCTCTTGGTAGCACGTGTTTTCTTTAATTTTTTACTTTGAGACATTTCCCTATGATTTAAATGAAGAATGATTTTGTTATGAAAAATCTATAATTTTCGGTCATTAAAGAAAAAGAAAAAGAGTCAGTGAACAGCGCCCCGCTTTTATCATTTTCATTTTCTCCTTCAATAAAGGAATGCATGAACTCAGAACACACATACTCACACACAAAAAGAGTTTGCAAGTCAATTCCTTTGTGGAGAACCGGTAGTGTGGGACAAAACCGTTTCCCAGATGCTACTTCCTCCTGTTCTGTAGCACTTCCCTAGTTTTCAGCAATTTTTTTGTTGAGGGAAAACGTCCCCCTCACCCCCCCCCCCCCCATTCACCCGTTTTTTAGTTACTGGTCTGCATTGACCGTTCTTCTTCCACACCACCCCCCTGGGCGCTCAGCAGCGTCGTCCATCAAGCCCTACACAAACTTCTGATCAACAGAAGAACCCTCCTCCTCGTCCCAGACACTAAACGAGACATCTCCTCTACTACTCATGCAAGTGAACACACAACGCTGACGTCACACCCTTCACTATTCCCCAGCAGCTCACTTTTAGAGCCGCGTGCAGGCTTTCCACCCCATGACACCCAGTTTTAAATTAATAGATTACTTCATTGATCAATGTTGAACATTTTTGTCTGCATTAAACGCACCCTTATCTAGCTTACTGTTGTGGATTGTTGATCATACAGTCGTATTGTTGAGAGACTGTTTGGCATACAATGTGGCGCATTATTTGATTATGAGCTGCGCTGGCTAGGACAGAGACGTGTAAAGTGTGTTACTCGTAATGTGCTTTTCAATTTTTACTGAAGGCCCTGTCTAAAGCCCCACGGTACGCCACTGCTTTTGAACAGGGTGTCATCATGTACACAATTACATTGCAGAAAACACAGGACTGCATAGGGAGGACATCAGTGTACCATCAGTACACTGTTGACCGACTTGACAGAAAACTAAATGATTAACTCATGGCATGACTCAACAGAACACACCTCCAACCCCCAGAAGTTCCCTCTCCCCTTGTCTCTACCCTCTGAACCTGCCCCCGGCATTTGCCCTGAATCCTCCCTCCGCATCCCCTCCACCAGCTTGTGGGCCTGTGTCACGTTCTGCCCTGAATCCTTGAAGCAGAGTGTTGGATGGACTGGAGGGGAGAGGGTTCTCTCACTAATACCAAGCGAGGAGTGATTGCAGTAATCTACTAGTGATAACGTTTGAGACATCCAATTTGTGGATATCCTGAGGCAGGCAGTTCAAATGGAAACTGATGTTGTGTTACGGATGATGCTGGTTCAAGACACAGAAAAGAGAAGTGGCCCAGCACTGATCTGGGGGTACCACCTCTTTAGCCTCTTAGTGCAGCATTTACCAATTTAGAGCCATTCATAGAGAGGCTGCCATACAAGGACCCACGCTCAGAGAAACTAACATCACACATCGGCCCATCCGGGGAGCAGCTCGGGGTTAAGTATCTTGCTCAATTGACATCAGGATCAACACCCAACCCTTCATTGGTAGAACACCTCTCTAAGTCACGCCAGTCCCCCAAACTGGGGTCTGGACCCCTCACTCTAACCATCAGATTAAGGTCTTCTGTGGCAGCACATCAGATATCCAACATGTTCGATCAGAAGTCCAGACACGAAGAGCGTGGCTTTGGAAGGTCAGTCCAAACCAGAGATGACTTGATAACTCTAACCCTTCAAAGTTTCCATGACGAGTGAGATAAATATGTCATGTTTGTTGGCACAAGCCTGCAGACTGAAGTTTCGCCTCTGCTGCCTTTGCTCTGTCGTGGGATCCGATATCTTAAACCTGCACAATATAACCAAATAACAAGATACGAAACACATTAAATATCTCAATAAAACACAGACACAGAGAAATATTATATCATTGTACAAAGTATAAGAAGACAGACTACCTTGCATCAAATGAGCAAGCAGAGATGTGCCTACAGGAGTAGAGAATCTTACAATATGTATACACAGGGCTCGACATTAACGGACTGCCCGATTGTCCCGGGGCTATCTACTGATTTAGCTCGGCAAAATGAAGCCCTCACCTGCTGGTTACCCGCGATCGGGCCAATCTATTATGCCAGTAATCATGGCACTCGCGGATCCAGTATGAGTGCCCTACAGTAAAACTAAACATATCTATAACTAGTTACGGTAGTGTTGAGAGGTAATTAAAATAGCTACGTGTGATATTCTATACCTGAAGTGTGTGTTTTGTCCGCTCACGCGCTGCATGTGATCATGCAGCGGTGCATGACGACTCGTCGCAGCAGACTGGTCTCTCTCCCGTCAGTTAGAAACATCCTCTCGTTTATGTCCATATCGATCAGATCCAGCTAGTTGCTAGCTAAATGATGGACTACCTGCTTATTAAAAGACACCTAAACAATAAGTGTCGCTATGCAACTGGGTGAAGGCACAAGTATACGCAGCATTATGCATTTGTTACATGCCCACCGGAACACCGGGCATTAACAACAGATCTAACGCACAATCAACCCATACAGCGACATCTCCTTTCTCCCAATTAAGTGTTAGACTTAGAATTAGACTATTCTGTCCTGTCACATAAGTTGCGCACTGAAGCCCGGCTATTCCCCACAGGCACCACGTTTGCAACAAAGGCCGCATTTCCACGCCTCTTGGGCCATCTGGCCTTTTCCTCGTCGTGCTCCGGCGATGGTCGGTTCTCGACTGCTGCTCGGGTCTGCTCGTCAGCCTTCCGGATGAGGAAGCATTCATTCGACAAGTTATCAGTAGAGTAACACCCTACAACATTTTTAACAGGGGCCATACATAGTGTAATAATGTTTATTTTCGGCAGTTACACACTGAATGTAATGTTTACTACTTTTTTACTCTGGGAAGGGCATTTGCTTTCATCAGATGGAAAGTGTCTGACCAAACAACTTAAGTATTTCTTATACAGTAGCTAATGCAGGTGCATGCAAGCGAGCAAACCACACACAAGAACAAACAACTTGAAATTGTACATATAATATTGGTGTGGTTTCATCTTATAATTCAGATCCTAGAGAATGCACCAGACAGCATCTAAGACCTGCAAAAATCTTTTATTTTCTAGGGGGAGCCCCCCAAAAGCCTTCGTGCCATTTCGTCCGCCGCACATTTTTCAGGCGCAATCTCTATTGGGCCAACCAGCGGCCATCCTGTAAATTAG